TTTAATGAAAAATTCTGAGAAGATTTTGAGCAAATCAAAATTATAAATTCTGAAAACTTGCTATGATCTCTAGAAGAGCTTTATACAGCAGAGACTATAGAACTTCCTGACAAATCAATAAATTTTGAGATACCATGAGGAATGTTGGACATAAAACTTGCAAAAGTCTTTAAACCTTATTTGAAAAAAATTTAAGAAAACAGAGAAACTTGGCGCAACTCTGTGTCAGGGACAAAGATACAGTACTTACATTATAAAATTTGTTAAAGGGGGAATGAAATCACATGTTTATTAGAATATTATACATTCCAAAGTAAATCCAAATTGTTTGTTGTCATGCAGTAGTTGTCTTACACTATAAATATATATAATTTTTTTAGGTTATATAGATTTTTAGTAGTACTATTAGATCTTTTAAAAATACTCGTCAGGTTTAAATATTCAAATTTACAATAAATTATCACTAAGGAACTGGGGAAGAAAAGGAAATGAATCATCTTGAGTTTGATTACTCACTGTGAAAAGAGAACTGGGAATATGCTCAGGCAATTCAATACAGTCGATATATTGTACATTGCTGAAACCTTTTATTAGTCTTTTCTTTGTTTTCCTGAATGATCATAAAAGAGAAAAGACTAAAAGAGAATGAAGGAAAAGGGCTTTAGGATCCTAGGCAAATTTCTGGTTTGGACTTCAGTTTTCTGATTTGTGGTGAAACCAGATATCAAGTATTTTCTAGGTCTAATCGTGGTCAGTGTATGAATGGGAGGCAGTGATGGGTGAGAGGTCTATCACAGAACTTAAATAGAGAATGGAAAATAGAAAATAAAAGAGGCTGGAGAGGAAAGGTAGTTATTGAAGGTCTGTGATTGTAAGGAGTGGAAGTAACTGGGTGTGCCTAACATCTGTTTCTAGAGCAAGTTCTACTGTTCTCTCAGTAGAAGTACATTTTCCTCCACAAAAATGACTTGACTAAACCAGGTTTTTATATATTAAGTAATGTGTCTAGCATAGTTGGTACTCAGTGATTATTTCTTTACCTTACTCACTATAAATGTACCAGAGTTGATTATATAAAACTAGGTTTTCCCTTCAGCTCTCTGGGTTTTTTTAACCTTGACTTGACTGTGCTTGAAGTTTGTCTTGTCTGCCATGACCTATCATTTGACTTCTGCAATAGAGTCCCTATACAAGTAACTAGTTCTGGTTAATGCTTTTACTTGAGAGACTCTCTTTTTCGTTTATTTTTTTATTAGATCATAACTGTGTACATTATTGCATTTATGGGGTACCATGTGCTGATTTTTATCAAACTGGTTAACATATCATTTACCTCACTTATTTAATCGTTGTGTTTAGACATTTATTCTCTACTCTTAATATATTTGACATGTACGCTTGCAGTATGCACAATAGGTGTAGGGAGGGTAATCGGTGGGACCTCACTTTTTCATTTAAACTCTCATTTGCCTTGGGCTGTTCTGATTTTGTTCATTATCGTGCACTAAGAATAAGTCAAGTCACAAGTCAGATTTAACCTGGTTTACTAATATTCTCCCTTGTTCTGCAGTTCTCAAATTGTAGATTAGGACTCTGATATTCAACTGATCTTTGAGATACAAACCTTAGTGTGTGGTACCTATTCTAGGTGAGCCAGGAGCCCTGCCCTAACAGACATCAAGATGTACAGGATTGTAGCAGTTAGGGGGTACTGTTGACATAGGAATATGTATTAAGAGTAAGGCCAGTGAAACATACAGAAGAGCACAGAAACAAGCCAGGCCTATGCATAATAAGTACCTTGACGGATGAAAGTCTATCAAAGGGAGAAACATGAGATTACCTTAAAGTGTTTGTATGACTTAGTTGTTCATGTGGAAAAAAATACCTTTCTCATTTATAAAACTAAATTCCAGATGGACTAATGACCTGAAATTTTTTCTACAATCCACTTTTTTAAATTACTAAAATATTATATAGGCGAGTACACTATGATCTAAGTAAATAAAGTCACTTAGAATCACAATAAGGTGAATAGACAACAAATAGCATACTTGATAGCAATTACAAGTGATGAATTGGATCTGTATGCATCAGTATGGATAGATCTTAAGAAATATGATGAATGAAAATACATGTATAACTTTATACTATTCAAGCATATTGTAATCAGGTATTTTCTATAGACTTTATGGAAGAGAGCATTACGTAGGAAGTAGGTGGTAGTCAGAGGAATCTGGTTTTATCTGTAATGTTCTAATTATTTTAAAGGGAAAGCATAGGGTAGACATAAAGTTCATGTTAAATTGCACACAAACATGTTTATGCTGAATATTAAAATATTACTGAAATAATTTTAAATGGAAAGGAAAGGTACTTGAAGCAAACATGGTAAAATGTTAGCAGTAGTTAATTATGGGTGATAACATGGGTGATTGTTACTTTCTTCATTATACATTCCTATGTGGTGTTTTATGTTTTTTTAAAGCTAAAAAGTGCTCTTTCTCTTTCCTCCTTCCCTTTCCTTTCCTGAAGAGTTTGTCCTTCTAATTAAAGCCATAGGGTATTACAGAACATTGCTTTTGTGCTGAGGGGAAGTGGGCCACGGACTAGGGTTGAGTATTGGACAGTGACCACATAGAGCTGTACAGTACACGATGTCAGAGCCCAAATGGTATGAAGAGAGTGACTTGCAAAAGGGGAATGTGCATTCCTCATGACTAGTCCAGGGCATTAGCTCAGCTGGCCAGAAGACCATCCACAAATAGGGTATTGAAGCCTAATTGGATGTTGTGCATCCATAGGGAGAGGGAACGTGGTGTGGTTTGTAGAAATCAAAATTGATAGAAAGGCATCCAGGTGCATGGGCCCAGTGTGGGGACTCAAGAGCCTGGGATATTCCTGTGGTAAGATGGGATGGTCAAACAGAAGATACCAGAACCTGAGCTAAGTTCAGAGTATGTCATGAATGAGGGCTGCCTGCTGTGCGGAATCAGAGCATGAGTGGGATAAAAAGGATATCCTGAACAGGGATGCCCTGGTGTGGGGCACCAGAGATGAATGAGGAGCGCTTCCACTCAGAGTGAGGGATTAGCTAGGATGTCACAGTGATACTAAATTGGTTGATCAAGTAATTAGATATATTAGGAGGAATGGGAACAAAGTTTCTCATTGTCAGAGGAAAGAGTCACAGAATTGGAAAGGAAGACAACTAGATGAATTCCGTGGTTAGATTGGAATTGGAAGTATTTGTGTGAATTCATGATTTCAACATAGATACTTAAATACTTCCCTAGAACTATCCACTGAAAGGGCCTGGGAACAGCAGCACCTCAATAACAGTTCACCTGTGGTCTTGATCTTGACTTTAAGATACCATTCTCTACTAAGTGGCTTATTCAGGGTTGGAGTAAGGAAAGTAAAAGACAGGCCTGGAACATTTTGTGTCAGCAAGAATTATGGGGTCAGATCGAAAGGACATAGAAACCAGCTTGAGGGAGCTCCCACAGGCCATGTCTAGGACACATTGAAAATCATAATAGTTTTAGAAATTGATTGTAACACATCTCAATATAATTGGGAAACATGAGCTCATACTAAAATTAATGAATTGAAGGCTTGATGAAAAACAGGTTATTAACATAGATTCAAAGAACATCCTCACAAAATACATAATAACAAAAGGCACATACTCGCAGATACCTCTTAATTCAATTGATAAAAGTAAATGTTATCAGTAAAGGTACAGATTGCAACCACCTACTACCTCTTGGGATGCATTGAGAACACAGTATCTCTTCTGTGTATGTCTTGTTATAGATGCATAATCTGAACCAAATTATGTGTTTGACACAGTCTAATCAGACAAACCAATTGAAAGGCATTTGTGAAATAAATGTCCTATAGCCTTCTAGTTCATGTGCTTCAAGGAAAGACTGGGAAGCTATTCCAGGCTCAAAGAGACTAAAAAGTTCACTTAAGACTACTGAATGCAAAGTATGATTCTGAACTGGGTCTATTTTCTATAAGGGGTATCCATTCGTTATTAGGACAAGTAGGGAAACTTGAATGTGTTCTTAAGATTGAACTATATAGTAATGTATCATCATTAATTTCTTGATTTTGGTAGTAATATGTGTTTGTAGAAAGTGAGTGCTAAAATATTCAGAGATTATTTGGTATCAAGTCAGTAATTCTCAAGTGTTCCAGGAAAGAGACTGTATTGTTTATTGAACTTTTCTGTAAGTTTAATATTGCCCCATATTTAGTCTCTGTTCATTTATTTCAGCTTTTTCTCTCTCTCCATCTTTCCCTCCCCCCACCTCCTTTCTCTCCTCTCCCTTCCCCCTCTACCCCCTCCGTCGTCCCGTTTCTTTGAATTTTTATTATTGTGTCTTAAAGTTCACTAGTTTTTTGTTACACAGTTTCTAATCTGTTAAACTCATGCAGTGAATTTTTCATTTCAGACATTGTATTTTATCACTTTAAAGATTCTATTTTCTTAACAATAGTTTTCCTTCCATTTCTCTCTACTTAATGGTCATGTTTTTCTTTAAATCCTTTAGTTTATTTATAACAGCTGTTTTGAAGTCCTTGTCTGCTATCCCATGATCTCTTTCATTTTGGGATCTGTTTCTATTGACTGTTTCCATTTTATTTGTTGGTTATGGATCACATTTTTCTGACCTTTTGCCTGCCTGTTAGTGTTCTTACTGTATGCTGGATGTTATAATTATTATTTTGGAGTACTTGGATCTTGTCCTTTAAAGAGTGAGGAATTTTGTTTTGGTAGATTGTCAAATTGTGTTTCAATGTCATTTTCTTTCTTTTTTTATTAAATGATAGCTGTGTATATTAATGCAATCATGGGGTATAGTGTGGTGTTTTCATATATGATTTGAAATATTTTCATCAAACTGGTTAACATAGCCTGTATGTCGTTTTCTTAGTTATTGTTCAATGTAATTTTCATTTAAAAATTTTCTTTTTATTTTTTGCAGTAATCCTAAAACAGAGAGTCAGAGAGTAAATAAAAAAGTAAACAATGATGCATCACTTAGGATTCATAATCTTTCCATTTTGGTGAAACAAATAAAATTTTATTACCAGGTAAGTGATCCTTTTTTTAATCTTATATTTTTGTGTTATTTAGTATCAATCATTAACAAAGATTAAATACTTACTATATGCTAGGTCCTGGTCTGTTTGTCAGAGAGAGAGAGGAATAAAATGGTTTATTTCTTTCAAATAATAAATGTAACAAGCAAGCACATCATAATTATATTATAAATGATTACTGTATTTTACCTATTTTAAAAAACAATAGCCAATTTCCTAAGAACTTACACAGTATAATAACTTTGTTAGCCTACTTGAATTATACCTTTGAGAAGAATACTTTTGTCTTACTATTTTTAAATTCACTTTTATTGAATCTGTAATTGATTGGTGCTTAACTTTCAAATATATGTGTACTTTCATTGTCTTTTAAAAAAAAACTCAAGTTGGATAGTATTTCAGTTTTAAACATGAACATTGTTAAGGCTATTGATGTATTTCTAAGAATTGCTCTAGCTATACTGTACAAAGTTTGATAGGATATATTTTTCAATAGATTTTTTTCTATTCATTTTCTTGTTTCTTCTATGATTCATTTTACTTCCAAGTTATTTAGATGCTATTAAATATTAAATGTCTTAACATAACGGTATTTTTCAAGTTATATTTTTTGTTTTTGATTTTTAGTCAAAGAAGATTATTTATTAATAGTTACTTAGCTTGATTTAAATATGCTGTTTATTTTCATTAAAATTCCATGTGAGTGGCTCGGCACCTGTGGCTCAAGTGGCTAAGGCGCCAGCCACATACACCTAAGGTGGCGGGTTCGAATCCCCAGCCTGGGCCCGCCAAACAACAATGATGGCTTTGTGGCAGGTGCCTGTAGTCCCAGCTACTTGGGAGGCTGAGGCAGGAGACTCGCTTGAGCCCAGGAGTTGGAGGTTGCTGTGAGCTGTGATGCCATGGCCTTCTACCCAGGGAGATAGCTTGAGGCTCTGTCTCAAAAAAAAAAAAAAAAAATTCCATGTGAGCTTACAAAAGATAAGTATTCTTCAGTTGGTTGTATGCAGAGTTAGGGCAACTTTGTTAATTGTGTTGTTTAAATCTTTTGCAGCCTTGTTAGTTTGTCTCTTGTGCCATCAGTTATTGAGAAAGATGTGTTGAAATATCCCATTATGATAGCAGATTTATCGAGTTTTCTTTATAACACTTTGAAGCTGTGCTATGGGGTTCAGATGAATTTAAAGTTGTAAAATCCTTCTGAATAATTAGATAATTATTAGCAATAGTTTATACATTTTTCTTTGTACCAACTTAATTTTTTTTTACTATTTCTTGGAGGCCACTCTCAAAATTATACCTTTCATGTTTAACGTAACAAAGGCTAAAATAAATCAGTATCTTTACCATTTTGTGGACTAATATTTGATTTGAGAATACTTTAATTCTAGTCATTGTCTTTTATGACTTCTAAGCTCTGTATTTTTTTAACCCTACAAGTTAGATATTAAATGTGCTGTTAAATAAACCAAACTAGTCATGTGTGTTGGCTAGCACCTGAACTCCCAGGCATTCAAGAGGCTGAGGCGGGAGGATCGTTTGAGTCCAGAGGTTGTATCACACCACCGCACTCCAGACTGGGCAATAGAGTGAGACTCTGTCTCAAAAAATAAAAGAACCCAAATAAACAAAACTAATGTTTTATTTGATCAAGCTACATGTTTTCTGTCTTTGTCCTTCTTTCTTTTTTCTTTTGTATTCTTACTGAAGTGCATTCTATAAATATTTTTTAGAGGTTTGTTGATAAAGTTGAGAAACTTTGAGAATGTTGCTCTGAAAATGCTTTAATTTTGTTCTTGTTTTTGAAAGATAGTTTTGTTGAGTATGCAGTTTTAGGTTATTTAATTTTTTCTCTTTGCAGATTTATGTTACCTCTGGATCCCTTTTTGTTCTGGAGAAGTCAGTTATTAGTCTAATTATTTTTTTTTCTTAATTTAAATGTCTTTTTTTTTTTCCTTCCAGCTGCTTTTTTTTTTCTTTTAATAAAAAGAGATAAAGTCTTGCTCTATTATCCAGGCTGGCATACAGTGGTGCAGCCATAGCTCACTGTAGTCTCAAACTCCTGGGCCCAGGTGATCCTCCCACCTCAGCTTTCCAGGTAGCTGGGACTATA